CGACGCTCTGGATCCTGTGTTCGGGGCTCGTCCTGGGTGCGGGATAAGGTGAGGAGAAGCGAGAGCGATGCTGGTGCCGGGGATTTTAGGGTTTCAGGGTTTGGTCTATTTGTTGCTGGCGTTGGGTTTTGCGTGTGGAGAAATTCCGAGGCGAAGAGGGAAGACCTCGTCATGAGGTTCGCGGAGGAGGATCATGCTGACGTGGCGGAGATGGAGGTTGCTGCGGCTGAGTCGGTGGAGTACTCTTCTCCGGTTCCCGTGGAGTACTCTTCTTCGGTTCCGGTGAATGTTTCGCGCTGGTACCAATGTGCGGTGTGTTTTGCGCCTACCACCATGCGCTGTTCTCGCTGCAAGGCTGTTAGATATTGGTTCGTTTTCATTCCTCCTGTTTATGTTTTTGAACTGCTATGCTATGTTGTTGTTAATATTAACCTAACAGGTGGAAGAAATGGGTAGGAAGCATGATGAGGGATTATTGGGGGTGCTAGAATTGGGAAAGCTTCCTGTGTTGATCTTATTAATTAGAAGTGATTAGCATTTGTTAGGAAGGGATAAATGGTGGTGGTGGTTGAATGGGGGGGGGGGTAGGGTTGATGAATTTAGTTATCTAGTGCTTTGGTCTCAATTTTAGTATTTCGTGTTCATGAGGCACTGAGATTATACTTGTGTAGATGTTTGGGAAAACTTTATTGTTGGATGAGAGACTTGAGTCCAATATTCTTGATTCATTCATGTTTATATTGCCTTGTCTTTAATGTGGCCTGTTTTCTCATTCATTCTATCGAAGTAGTTGCCTGTTTGAATGCTGGTTTAGAATAGAGAAACCATGTCAATGCTACTTAAAGATGTGATAGCTATCCAAGAGTTCAGTATCGCGATACTCAGACATCGACGCGTGTCGAGTAGTTATTGTGGACAATTTGTTAGGTGGATCATCAAAAAACACATCCTCATTGTGGGACCAAACACGCTATAAGGCGTTTCCATTGTCTCTGATGTTAGGAGCTATTGTTCTTTTCCTTTTGCTTGTCGACAAAACAATAATGAATGTTCTGTGGGTGATTGCTGTTTTCTTAATGTTTGTCTTTTTCGTGTTTGAAATTGAAACGTGGTTGTTTATTTAGAGCTTCATTTTGTCGTCTTCATATTAATGCGTCTTCATATTAATGCGTAGTTTTACTAATGGGGCCAAATGTGCAATAAGGTCTTTCCATTGCCTTTGAAGTTAGGAGCTATTGTTCTTTTCCTCTTGCTTGTCGACAAAACAATAATGAATGCTTTGTGGGTGATTGCTGTTTTTTTAATGTTTGTCTTTTTCGTGTTTGAAATTGAAATGTGTTTGTTTATTTAGAGCTTCATTTTGTTGTCTTCATATTAATGTGTAGTTTTACTAATGGGACCAAACACGCTATAAGGCGTTTGCATTGCCTTTGAAGTTAGGAACTATTGTTCTTTTCCTTTTGCTTGTCGACAAAAATAATAATGAATGTTTTGTGGGCGATGGCTGTTGTTTTCAATGCTTGTCTTTTGTGTTTGAAATTGAAAAGTGTTCGTTTATTAAGAGCTTCATTTTGTCGTCTTCATATTAATGCGTAGTTTTACTAATGGGACCAAACACGCTATAAGGCGTTTTGCATTGCCTCTGAAGTTAGGAACCATTGTTCTTTTCCTTTTGCTTGTCGACAAAAATAATAATGAATGTTTTGTGGGTGATGGCTGTTGTTTTCAATGCTTGTCTTTTGTGTTTGAAATTGAAAAGTGTTTGTTTATTTATAGCTTCATTTTGTCGTCTTCATATTAATGCGTAGTTTTATTAATGATTGACGTAGCTGCATTCCTAAATATCTGTAGTTTCTTTTGCCTGTGTCTCTTCTCGGTTCAGTGACATTTCTCAAGCCATCATTTCAGCCTCTTATCATGTTACAAAGATTGTTATTCATTCTCACAAGCATGCTTTCTTGTAGTTCGGGTAAGTGTCAAATTAATCATTGGAGACAAGGTCACAAGGAAGAATGTTGTCCTCCAACTACCACCATGGAGCTGAATGATGAAGATATTTTTTGCAGGGCATCAGTATCCCAAACTCAGTCTGGTTTTCATGGTAATGGTTTTGATTACACACAACTCTTGTTATATTGTTTCGTGCATGTATGGTTTATAATTTAGCTAGATTCTCTGCAGAAATCAAAGGAACACATGATGGGATTTCATATTCCAATGACTCGTATTCCAACCTTAATCCTTCAGTTGCTGCAAGAAAATCATTTGATGATAACTATCACAGCAGATTTGCCAAATCTGTCTGCGATGATAATAATGATGATTCAAGTGTTGCTTCTGCTCATAACAAAGAGACAGTGTTGACCCCCACAATTTCCTCAGAATCTACATATTCTGTGAATGTTGAAGTTAAGGATTCTAGTGCAAGCAAAAGAAGCAAGACAAATCCTAGCAACACTAATGATGAGACTCGATCTAAATCAAAATTTCCCAAAGTTAAATCTGACACATCTCATGATGAGGCAGCAAATTTGGGTAGCCATGAACGCAGAAGAAAAGTTGCAATAGTTGAAAAATCAGCTGCAATAGATGCCTCTAAATGCAAAACTGTGCCTTACTTGAGTGGTTCAAGTAAATATGCTGTAATTGATGATGTAGAAGAAGAATCGCATTTGTCCAAATACAGAGAAGCACGGAGATCATCATCTAGTTCTCGTGATCGACCATCCTCAACTACTAAGGGGGATTCTCTTTCACAGTCCAAGTGTATAAAAATGGACAATTATCATACCTTACCCACAAAAGTTAGTGCGATTCCAAATCTGCAGCAAAATGTTCGTAGTGGTTTGAAAACATCAATGCAAAAAGTTGTCCAGCAGTTTAGAAGCTCAAAAGAGTCAAGATCCAATTCAGCGTCTGCCGAAAATGAGGTTGGGAATATATTTGACCTATTTCTTTATACACGTAATAATAATTTTGTCTCTGTTGATTTACAAATTGCATATTTGTTTTGGCAGATGGGCTTTCCTTATGAACTCTTTGTGGAACTTTACTGTTATGACAAGATGAGGCTATTCCCCTTTGGCCTTACAAACTGTGGGAATAGGTATTGTAGAGTTAATTCTCATTGACTGGTATAATTGTAATATGTTATAGGCTATGTAAGTTGTAAGTTGTAACTGATCTAGTGAGAGGAAGGAAAGAGCTATGAGACTCTTATTTTGTTTTGGAGCTTTATGTTTCTTTATTTTTTCTTTCAATACTCTCATGTGGGGCATAGTCCTACAATTATGAGCATAGAGTGTGATAATTGCGATGAAAGAAACTTTTGCAAGTAGAGTAGGCCTTTGAGAAACTTTTGAGAGAACATCTAGGAAGTGGTCTAGTTGCTGGCTGGCTACTGTCGTACTGTTATTCAATGCTTGTTTCTTTGTTGCGTTTCATGTAGTTCAAGGGAGGCACATCTAGTGCTTGTTTGTATAGCTTTTCTCTATTCGACATTAATTTCCTTCTAATTGAAATGTTTCTCCTGCAGCTGTTACGCTAATGCAGTTCTCCAGTGCTTGGCATATACTAGGCCTCTGACTTCATATCTTTTTCAAGGGTTTCATTCAAAACGATGCAAGTTCCTCTTAATAGTATCTTCATGATTAAACTTGTCCAATTATCAAGACCTTGTATTTAATTAAATCTTCAAATTTCAAAATGCTTTCACTAGGTCAGAAGAAGGGATGGTGTTTTACATGTGAGTTTGAGTATCTGATTCAGAAGGCAAAAGAAGGGAATTCTCCACTTTCACCAATTGGGATATTATCTAAGATACACAAGATTGGAAGCCATCTTGGGCATGGGAGGGAAGAAGATGCTCATGAATTTTTGAGGTGAGGCAAATAATTGCTGAAGCTGTGAAGCCATCTTGAATTTATACGTCTGTCTACATGATAAATTGCTCAACTGGCAGGTGTGCGGTTGATACAATGCAATCTATTTGCCTCAAGGAAGCAGGTGTTTCAAGTCCTTTGGCAGAAGAAACAACTTTAGTTGGTTATACTTTTGGAGGTTATCTACGATCTAAGGTTGTTTCCAGTTGAACAGTCTATTTTTTCTTGAGGTTCACATTTTCAACTTTTACAGAGTAGGAAGAAGATAGTTTCCCTCTATATTGAAATTTATTTGGTGCAAATTTTAGATAAAGTGCTTAAGATGCCTGGGGAAATCTGAGAGGTACGAGAGAATGATGGACCTGACTGTTGAGATTGATGGGGATATTGGAACTTTGGAGGAGGCTCTTGGGCAATTTACAGCACCTGAAATCTTGGATAAAGATAACAAGTATAATTGCAGCAGGTTTGTTAATTTTCTTTCCATTTTCATGTTTATTCCAGTCTAGCCTATTATTTTTAACCTATAATGTTCAGGCCTTTTTATTTTCTTTCCTTTTTCCCTAGCAAGTGTAATACATTTCTTTTATTAAAGCCAAGCCACGTGGCAATTTAATTTTCTTTTCATTTTTTAATGATAGATATTAAATCGACTACTATTCAATTTCTGTTTTGCAGTTAAAATTGAGCTTGAAAAGATCATAAATGATTTGATAGTAAAAATTGTCAAGATTCAGATTCTTAGTTTTTAACTAAAGAGTTAAATTCCTAAACTTAATAAGCAATTGCTGATTTGGTCTCTCTTGCCTGAAACTATAGTTCTAAGACACAATCCATCCATTGTGTAAAAAGTCATAAACAAAGCTGCGTGGAGCTTTAAAAGTAATAGTAGAAAAGGTCCTAAACCTATTGGAAGGTTAAATATAAGATTTTATTGGGAGGGGAAAAACTAAAATGATTTAAAATTGATGAGAAGCTGTAGTAGAAGTGTGTGTTTTTTTCAGATGTTAATATGTTAAGATCCAATTGCAAGGTATGAGACTTGAGTCCCACATCGAAAGTATGAGATTCTAGTGTGGGGTTTGTAAGGCCATGGGCTCTCCAACTATAATAGCTAGCTTTTGTAGTGTGGTTATCAAGGTTCTTATCAATTGGTATCAGCGAGCCTTGCATCATGTTTGGGGCTACTGTATAGATAGCTTGTGTGGGTGCCATAATAGTTCAAAATTATTGGTTAATAGAGAACCAAAGTGAATTTACCAATAAAGCATGGTGGGATGTTAGAATCCAATTGCAAGGTATGAGACTTGAGTTCCACACTAGAAGTATGGGATTCTAGTGTCGGGTTTATATGGCCATGGGCTCTCCAACTACAATAGCTAGATTTTGTGATGTAGTTCTCCCAAGGTTCTTATCAAAATATATGCAATATTCGCCCGGGACTAGTCAAATGGGCTAGTGCATGGCCAACCCGCGTTGGCATTGGGGTTGTGGAGCGTGGTGGGATGTTAGGATCCAATTACAAGATATTTGACTTGAGTCCCACATCAAAAGTATGGGATTCTAGTGTTGGGTTTATAAGGCCATGTGTTCTTCAACCACAACAACTAGCTTTTGTGGTGTGGATCTCCCTAGGTTCTTATTAGAATATATGCAATGTTCACTCAAAACTAGTATGTTAAATATATGATTTGATATGATTTATTCATTTATAATTAGGAAAACTTGTATAGTGAAAATTAGGGATTCTACTCATTATTAGCCGTTATCTTTTATTTTCTTATTTCCTTATTTTGTATCCTTATTCATCATAAATAGAGGATTACATGTGTGGTAACAAAACACCCAATTCCTATATGGTGTCAAAGCTAAAGGAGTTGTAGGCTTTTTGATGGTGGTGTTCCACCAAAAATGCCGTCATTGGCCCTTGCACGTGTCCACATGTGTTGCCACTCTCTAGCATGTACGTTTCTACATGAACAGTACTGAAAACAACTACGGATCTCTTTCTCTGGGAAACCACACCACCAAAGTCACCACACTCGAGCGATCACAACTCCACCAAAAATGTCATCGCTCATGCTTAAATGCATCTCCTTTCTTCGACATGTGCGTTTCTGCATGAACAATATAGCGAACAATTGTAGATCTCCATGGGCAATTGTTGAGCCACTCTTTCTCTAGTGCAACCACACCACCGGAGTCACTAGACTTTGGTGACCACAGTGCCACTAGAGGTATGAGATGTTAGGATCCAATTGCAAGGAATAAGACTTGAGTCCCACATTGGAAATGTGAGAACCTATTGTGGGATTTATAAGGCCGTGAGATCTCCAACTATAATAGCTAGATTTTCTGATTCGGTTTTCCTGAGGTTCTCATCAGAATCTATGCAGTGTTCATTTGGGACTAGTCAAAGGGGCTATTGCTCAACCAACCCACGTGGGTGTCGAGGTTGCATAGTGTAATGGGATGTTAGGATCCAATTGCAAGGTATGGGACTTGAGTCCTATGTTGGAAGTATGAGATTCTAGTGTTGGGTTTATAAGGTCATGGGCTCTCTAACCACAATAGCTAGCTTTTGTGGTGCTGTTCTCCTAACATTATTATCAGAATCTATGCAGTGTTCACCCAAGACTAGTCAAAGGGGCTAGTGCACAACCAACCCACATGGTGGGATGTTAGGATACAATTGCAAGGTATGGTACTTGGGGTTGCAAGGCAGGGGTGTTAGAGCCCGAGGAGGATTCAAGAAGATTGACGGAGATGAGGTTCTTTTTCTTGAATTTCCAAGGCGAGATTCATGGGCAAGGAGGAGGGTTTCAACCTCTTTGATGGACAAAACATCAAAGCGGCTGCTTATTAGGGAGACGGTGGACTCATATTCCTCCGGTAGGCCCTCAAGAACAATGTCCAAATGTTCTTTAGAGGAGACAGAATCACCAATGGCTGTGAGAGAATCAACCAGGTATTGGATGCGAAGAAGGTAATCGAAGATGGTGCAGTTGTCAAGGGTGGTGTTGCGAAGATCACTGCGGAGTTGTCGGGCTTTAGCGTTTGTGTGGGAATGAAAGTACGCATGAATCTTGTCCCAAATCTGGAATGAGGACTTGCAACCGATGACGCGAGTGAGCATGTCCTTGGACATGGAGGATTGCAACCAGGAAAGAAGTAACTGATCTTGCCGTTCCCAAGCAAGGTACTCTTCAGAGACACGATTTTCATCTCTGTCAGAAACCGTGAGAAATTTTGGAGGAATTTGAGGATTGACCAGAAAGTGATGAAGACGATGGCCTTTGATGACCGGTTCAACTTGTTGGCACCAAAGAAGATAATTCTTGGTGTCAAGTTTCTCAGAAATAGTATGGGCGAAGGTGAGAGAGGGAGACGAGGAGGGTTTTGCTGGGGCAGCATGAAAGTGTGGTGGTGCAGTTGAGGAAGACGATGGTGGTTCTTCGGCCATGAGGAGAGACCGGCAGTGAGAAAGAAAATGGCTGAGAGAGAGGGGAGGAGGGATTGAAGGGATAAAGAAGGAAAGGATCGATGAGCTCTATGATACCATATTAAGTAACAGAAAGAATTGAGATGAGAGATTCTTGAGAATAGAGAAGAGAGATTGAGCGGAAGCAATTTAGTAGAGAAAGGAATTATATTTTCAGTAGTGATCAACATTACAACTTGTCTATTTATATGTATCAATAGCTTCAAAGGAAGCTATAGACACATTGACCTGTTGAACAGGTAACCAAACCAGAAAACAGAAAATAACGAACAGATAATTTTAGTAGTTTGGAACGGCCCGTTCCAATTCGGGAACGGCCCGTTCTGGGCTACTAAATCACTCCTATTAGGCTTTGGGCCATCGTACAATCTGTGAAAATTGGGCTATTACAAAAAGTATACACCAAAATAAAATATGACGTTATTAATATTATAAATTTTATGAAACAAAAAAAGTACTTCAAAAGTTATAAGGACAAAATGCTCTAAGAAATTAAATATAAAAAAGATATATTATGTTTATTAATAGTATAAATTTAATTATTTATTATAATCTAATTTAAAGTAAAATTATTTTAATAACTTAATGATCTCAACAAAATTAGTTAAATAACTATATATCATTGAAAAAGAATCTTTAAAAGTATTTTTGTTCAATATTTTTTCTTTGGTTAGTCCCTGGAGTATCCACCGCTGATAGCAATGACTAATCTCCTTGCTACGTTGGAGGCACCTCAAAGGGTGGGATAGCTGGTCCCAAGATTTAACGCGGCTGCATACACAAGGCAGGATTCGAACCCCTGACCTTGCTTAAGCGTGGATCAACCCCTACCGCTGAACCACACGCTTGGGCACAATTCTAATTTGTTTTTTTATTCACTATTCTAATATAGTAGATAAATTTGGGAGGATATTTACTTATACAAGAGTAAATCTTGATAGATTTATTTCATTTAATAATTCTTGATTTATAATAAACTTATCAATTTAATTTTTAAATTAAAAGTTCTTATTAAATTAATCAAGTCTATAAATTTTATAAAATTTGAAATCTATTTGAAACTTTATTATATTAATTCAAATTGATATATAATATATTTTTATGAATATACGTCTATTTAAATTAATTTAAAGAATTATCAAATAGTTTTCACATTTTATAAAGAATTGTAGACTTGGTCTATTTCATAAAAAAATTAATTTATTAGTTAAATAATTAACCAATTTAATTAAACTAATACAATGCGAAGGAGTAAAGATATACTCCAATAGGGATTGAGTACAGAACCAGCTTTGTTGGCAGTTTTCACTTTCTACTGCCAAAGAGAGGTGCAGGCAGCAGCACAGGGTGGTGGAGGTGGGGTGTTTGTGGTTAGCAGCAATGAAATCGAAGAAGTTTTTGGGTTGTTGGTTGTAGATGAAGTGAGAACGTGAGAGTGGGAGTGGGCTGCAAATGAAGAGAAAATAGAAATTAAGGATTTAATTTTAAAGGGATCTGACCTGGAAATCTGGGTCCACTTTGCCTAGGGTGGTGTTTTGGCAGCAACAAAGAGAAGTTATAGGGTTGTTGGTTGTAGATGAAGTGAGAACGCAAGAATCCAAGAGTGGGCTTCAAATGAAGAAAAAAGAGAAATTGGGGATTTTTTTAAAGGGATCTGACCTGGAGATGTGGGTTCACTTTGCCTCGCTGGGCATTGATGCTCTGACAAGTTAATGATGAAGATTGAAGATGATGAACCCAAGCTGATATTATTTGCCAGACGATCCTGTGAACAATTCAGTATGCCACTCAACTTGTAGGATTGTACAATCCTACAATTAAACTTGCAACTTTAACATCGTTGGTCATAGTTCCGCAAATATATATTGTGTACTAGATATTTAGAACTTTAGGTATTTTGCTCAATACATAGTTTGTCTTCTGGATTTTTGCGACTTTATGTAGACTTCTTTTTATTCCAATTTTATGAAAAGACTGAAGTAGTGCTACAAATGTCATACAGTTTACAGGGGGGAGAGAGGTATTTTGAGGGTTACTTTTTCTTTCCTTTCCTATGTGGGAGTGGGACACGGACACAATATTGAATCATTGTATGTTTCTTTCTGCCTATCCAGATGTAAAACCTATGAGAAAGCCAGGAAGAAATTGACAGTATTGGAGGCACCAAATATTCTCACAATTGTATTAAAACGATTTCAGGTACATCTCCAATATTAATTTTGAAGTTTCTCTTGTTATCTAGTCACTTTGTTCTATGATGTTATTTTAGTTTTATATTATGTATCTCATGCATATTCTGCTGTCTACTTTGGCAGTCTGGTAACTTTGAGAAGTTGAATAAGTCGGTTCAGTTCCCTGAGGTTCTGAATATGGCTCCATATATGAGTGGAACAAAAGATAAATCTCCACTATACAGCCTTTATGCAGTGGTTGTCCATTTGGATATCATGAATGCTGCATTTTCAGGTCATTATGTCTGTTATGTGAAGAATATCCAAGGAGAATGGTTCAGGACTGATGACAGCAGGGTGAATTTTTTAATCCTGATATACCTTTTCTGTGTCTGAATGCTCCTCCCCTCCCCCACGTCCCTCCAAAAAAATTAATTAGAAAAATGTTGCTGTCATTTGCTCATTTGATTTTTGGCTTTGATTTTTATATGTGCTTGTCTTTTAATTTGACAATGAATATATTGAGCTAGGCTTCAGTACACTAAGAATCAATAAAGAAAAAAACTAAAAATAGGAAGAAAATTTAATATATTGAACTATTCATTTAAAGTATTTTTTATATATATATTAAGTTTCAGAAGCATCATAGGATATTTATAAATGCTTATTTAAAAGCTACTGTTGCGTTTTGTTTCTCAAATTTAAAGAAATACCAAAACTTTCTAGAAAACATTCTATGAAATACCATTGGAAGTTTATTTCTTAAACTCGTCATTAATTTTTAAGATACTCCTTTTGTAAAAGTGAGACTATCAATATGCATAAATCATTTGAGGTGAAATTCTTATGTAAACTGAGGATGTCATTTGTGTTTCTATTTAGGTAGAACCCGTTGAATTGTCAAGAGTCTTATCAGAAAGGGCATACATGCTTCTTTATGCAAGGTAGTAGGCCTGTGAATGTTGATGTATAATTTCTGGTTTGATGTTCATTATTTCTGTGGAATGTCTCAGCAATAATAATAGCATTGTTTTATGCTAATTTTAAAAATCTTCAGGCACACTCCCAAGCCACTGGGTTTAGTAAGTAGCAATGCTATCTCTTCTGCTGGAAAGTTCAAGAGGAGGAACCTGGAGGCTATCCCTGCTACTTCTAAGATTAAGTCAAATTCCATGGCCACAAGTGGTGATTCTTCCTCCCTACAGCAGAAGAGTGTCAAGTACCCTTACCGGAATGCTGTCGATGATTCCTTAAGCACTGATTTTGCATATCCAGAAGAATGGAGATTCCAGTATGGGGGGAAAAATACAATGGTGGATTCTTCTAGCGAAAGTTCACTTTTCAGCTCTTCAGATGCAAGTTCTTGCAGTACTGCAAGTATCAAGGACTCAGCCAGTACTGCTGATTTCTCGGATTACATATTTGGTGAGGTGGGACCCAATTGGTATAGCCACTATGGCCTTTCATCTAACTTGGTGTCATCCTCCTATGATAACTTGGATACAGATTACTTAGTGAATAGTGGTGCAAGTAGAAGGCTCCGGCAGGATTCAGAAGATAAACCAGTTTTGTATGCTAACAAAAACAAAAATCAAAGTGGCAGTAGGGGAATTGACCTTAAAAGGTATATCACTGCTAACCATTATGACAAAAAATCTGGTGTACATGTGAGAAGAACAAGTGGAGACACATCAGCTCAAACGTTTTATTGAGTTTGAGTTGAGAGATATAAGCAACCATCTTGGATATTTTTGGTGTAGTGAAGAGAATCAGTATTTCGCTAATCCTAATAGAATGAGGATTCCTGTTCAATGTTCATTCTGTACTCCAATGACTTTATTTATTCATTAGTATATAGAACAAATATAAACAAAATGAGAAAACAAAAATAAAAATTAAATCGGTGATAATTCACCATTTACAATATAGTGTATGCAGTTAATAATCACTTTATAAGAATCTTCCGTTGAGATTTGATTCAATTTTACTACGTGGAGTTTTGGAAGCAACTTTTTGTACTACCGTGCTCTGCAGCATTTACTTTTCGTGAATTTTTTTATCCACATATGTCAGTATTTCTTTCCCTATTCTTCACCAGTTCACATC